CGCAGCTTCTCTTTAAGTCATCCAGGGCCCGGGGACCACCCACGCATCCGCCCCTGATTCAACCCCAGTGTTCCGCGCAACCCCCGATCCCTTTTCCGCCCACGCAGCCTGCAGTTTCATCCACCGAGGGCACCCTCGTCCATCTTTCCCTCTCTGTTTTCGCTGTCGTTGGTTCTCCTCAAGGTTCCGTCGTATCGACGCCATCCGTCCCTGTTTCCTTTCATCCGTTCCTCTCGATCTTCGCGCCGCGCTCCTCGAATCTCTTCGTCGGGGACACCTTTTGTGCCCGCCACATTTCCCATTTTCAACACGAATTCAACGAGCATGAGAACCAATCGGTGGTATGCCAATACTGCAATCATTAACCCTTTGCACTCGAGCCATTTTTTTCTGGTGTCTACCAGCAACTCGAGATGCTTTATTAGCATTCCATTCCCACGAATACTTAGATTGACTTCGAAGATGAGATCTCTAATTTTAGAATTGAGAATCAGATCACCTTTGTCTCACAGAGGGTCATATTAGTGATTTCGAGTTACTTCGAGTTCCAAAGAAATTTAACTTAAATAAACATTATTACTAGTTGATTTGCTGCGTCAAACCTAGTGGTAACCGAGAGTCACCTCTCTAGCGCAAAGGGTTAATGTTTATTCGGTCCTGGGCACTTTCGAAATGATATTTCAATATCAATAAATATTATTGTATATACATTCAGTCCCCCATAACTATCCATACCCTCAGCGTTTATTGAAGGAACTTGTCTAAATTAAACGATAGGTTCGATAGGTTTCTAAATAAATTTATCATTGTTTATATACAAGAGTAAAGTTCCAAATAACATTATTTGGAACAGCAAATCAAGCAACACATTCTTTTATTTTATAATTACTCGAAACAACAGCGAACCTTCTTCAGAGGTGAAATCGTGACAATTTCGAACTTGCCCAGACTTTATTATCCGCTAACTTCCGGCTCGTTTGATCGCAGAAAATTCATCAGACCTAACAAAATTTTGTTCCCGTTGCAATCTCGTGGCGGAAAGTTACCCCGCTTACTGGAGCGCATTTGTAAAACTCGGAAGAGCTTTTGATGACCACGATCGCCGCACCTGATTGAATTTTCCACTCCTCGATCTACGCTCGATCGCGACACGGTCTCGCGCTGGCATTTCTTTGTTAATGCCTGGAACAGCGTCTCGAGGCGTAATCTGTTATTCATAGCGGCTCTCCTCCTATCCCGCCCACGCAGTCTGCGGCCTCATCCGCGGTGTTTCAATCGAAGAGTTCGTTGAATCATCCCGACGGTCTCCGCGAGCCTTTTCCGCTCTTCTGGTACCGTCCCAGCTTTCTGGCTTTGTTCCTTCGGAAGAGTTAAGCGTCACTCGCTGGGGGAGTATTTTCGATGTTCAGCTCCCAGAGAACTTGACACCGTTCTCGCGAATTTTTCCTCGCCCTTTGTTCGACCAATGTTTGCCCAGGCGTGGAGTGCGTCTCTTCGACGCCTGGCACGGAAAAAAAAAACCCAGGAAAATTTCATCTCGTCTCCCTGGAAAAATGAACTCGCTGGCGCGCTGGAAAACGTTACGGGGTGGGTCGAGGGAGGGGTTGATTTTAGGTTTGTAGGTTTTCTGAACGATTAGGTCTGACACGGTGGTTTCGGAAATTTATCTCGAGTGTAAAGTTTATTAGAACGTTCTTGATCTGATTCTTTCCCATCCTCCTGAATAACGAATAATATTTTTTTGTACCCATGCATCGAATTCCCTCAGTAAGCCCTCGGTTGCTGTAGCTATGTTTAATTGTAACTACAGTACGGGTTTAGCGATTCCGAGGTATCCGAGCTATAGAGGAGCTACCAGGTCCCCACAGATAGGAGAGTTAAGAGATACTGCAAACAGTATTAAAACAATGCAGGAGTGACGCAAGACAAAGTAACGATAAGAAGAATGGAGATATTATTTAAGATGAACTTTTAGTGTAATCGCTTTAGTTACACACTTTATTAAATAACGGAACGGAGGCCAGCAACGAGGTAACTAAATAAACTTCGAACGACGAAGACAAGCTGGAAAAGCGCGGCTCGAAGCGAGCGAAGAGCAGATAGCCTCGAGGATGACCCCAGCCATTATCTTCGACCGCATTTAACGACGAACGCAGTCCGAGTATCTTCGCTCTCGTTCCGCGTCCTGAAACCTTTCATCCTTTCTTCCCGGTTTCTGACGTCCCGACCTCACCCTCGCGCCCAACAAGCATAATGAACGAGCCACACGGGGAAGCGGGGACGGAGATTTCGTACGCGAGCCCGGAGAGATCGATACCCGCGGCTTCGCGCTGGGAAAACCTTCTGGAAACGCTGAAAACGCCTCGACGGAGTCGAGCGAGGAGAATACCCGGTCAGCCGCTTCCTGCCGTTTCATTTTTCATACAGTGGCTCGGAATTGCCGTGTCCTCCACCCCTCACCTGGACCAACTTGGCCCTCCTTGAGCTTCCCAAGGAAATCTGGGACCTTTGTCGAGGAGCAATCGCGATCTCGCGCTATTCGAAGCAACGAGAGTATCGAAATTGTGTACTTGTGGGAAAAGTTACTTTATTTTTATATTTTACGTACACTCTGTAAGTTAAACAGAGGGTTTATAGCGCGATGGGGTGGTTGTCTTGTTTATGGAACCAAAGACACAAATTTGCTTGGCACGTTAAATTTAATTTCGTTTCGTTTGGAAGACCTTGCACGGGTCCTATCTTATTTCGCTGTTCTTTTAGATATTAATTCTCTAACAAATAGTTTCGAGCGTGTTTTCTTTAAGGAGCAGAATCGGTGGAATAGAGTCAGTATCGAGCACAGCCCACGCCTCGTTTCGAGAACATCTGCGACCTCTCTTAGTCGGAAGTGATTATCGGAAAGAATAAAGTTCCAGATTGAGTCCCTTTATAGCCGCAATCGCGATTCGATATCTACTCTGGCGAAAGCACCGAAGTCCAAAGGCCGCGCAATGGCTTCCTCGAGATCGTTAGAATAATGTAACCGAGCATAAAAAGAAGCATCACGCGAAGTGGTAGATAAGTCCCCCAGACAGTATCGTCGTTTGAGAGCTCGCGAGACTCGGCGAATTAAGTTTCCTTATTGTCTCCGGCGCCGTACGATTTTTCCACGGCTGGAGATTCAAGACGAAACGCTTGGTCGCGATAATTGCACTTGCATGAAAATAATTATGTAAATTACCAGAGGAGACGAGTACGCTACTTTGGGATGATTCTTTCTTGCCAAACAATGGCGAGATAGGCACTCGAAATAAATGTTAATATAGATTCGGATTATCCTATACGTATTCAGGTTCTGAATTGTTGGTAACGTAGCTCTTAGACCTTCTTTTTCTAATACTTCACGGAGAAAATTTCTTACAGGCAGTCCTAACTTTTTTAGAGCAAGCCCAGATATAGGACCTTCCTCAACCAGGGTGGTTAAGAACTCAACCGTGCTCCTATAACTCCTGCTAATAACAGAATCGCTCAAACAATGCTTTACAGACGCGATTAAAATAGTCTAATATAACAAATTCACAAAATAAAATTGTTGTTTAAAGATTCAAACCACCCTCCAAAAAATTCTGTTGGCACACGATGAGTGACACAGTATGTAACACAATACTCAGGATCTTGGTCGAGTGCATTTTGGCAAGCGTTCGGTTCGGTTTTTGGTAATGTCCTGGGTCGGAAATAAGGGAAAAATTCATGGCCCCCGGTCGACTGTTATCGGTGCAACCTCCAGCGAGGGTCCAGGGGTAGTCTTAACCCGACGGATCCTGAGGACGGTCGCGCGCAGGATCCCCGTGTGCCGTTAGCAGGATTTATGAGCGGCGCGATATTAAAACGCAAGCGTAATTTACGAGCCGGGGTAGCGCGCAGCTGCCGTCGACGCGGAGGCGTGCGCGCTCTGTCTATCAATCGTGTTTTGCATGAGTAGGAGAAAATAAAGCCGCCGTTTCGCGGTTCCCACGTGCTACCCAGTATGAGAATCTCGGCTGTCGACAACGAGGTTAACCGTTTTACGTCGAACTTAACGAGCTTTCGTGCGCAACGGCGTTCAACGTTTTCGCGAGTAGATGTCTTTCTTTCACCCACCACACCCTAATCCTTCCTCCCGCCGTTTCGGGGTTTTATCTACCTGTTGAAACCTGCTGGATTTTTTTTCTAGGTGGACACCGAATGTTCTATAGTAAACGTTTTGTCGATTAATTAGGGACAGAAGTTAAATTGTATTTAAATCTTCTTCTCTCTCCAGTTTCTTTATTAATATCGCGAATCGATTATCGGTCGGTGGAATCGCGTGATCGAGCGTATCTGGGGTGCACGAGAACCGTGGCGGGCATTCGCGAGCGGCGCAAACGAGAAAGATGGGTCGATATCGATTTTCGTGTTAGGTCTGGGAGGACGTGGGACGCTCGCGTGCGGGGGCCAAACTAATTTCCATTCCACGAGCCAACGGGCGCGCACGCCCGACACGAGTGTTTATCCTATTATGTTTGCGAATTATCTGTCGCGATAGCGTCACGATTTTCGGGTCGCCGTGGAAGGCTCCCGGTATCGCAGCCTTTCAAGGGTTATCTTTATTTGTCGCGTTGGACGCGTTTATCTTTGGAATTCCTGCACCGAAACGCAAGGTCTTTTTTCCTACTCCAAATGAAACTTATCCCGCCGGATAGAAACGCTTCGAGCACGCTCTACGACTAATCTCTGCGCCCCCGCGGCCTTCTCTGTTACGAACGTTGCGGATAATGAGTGGTACTCCGCGGCTAAAGACGCGGATATTGTGTTTACTTATCCAGATAAGGATACCGAACGACGACCGAGTGATTACGAACGTACATTCCGCATATACGTTTTGCATATGTTTCTCGTGTTTGTATGTCCCCAGAAATGCATTTAATTTGCTGCTTGGCGTATCGCTAAAAATTCACCGCGTGTTCTCGACTAATCCGTGTTTTCCGTTTTCTTTGTTCCAGGTAAGTGTCCGGTCGATCTCTGGGTACAGGCCCGATCTACCTGTCCGATACCGTGAGTCGCGCAGTTCTGGCGAGCGATTTCGTCGATCACTTTCCTCGAGAATCTTCGAATCGGGGGTTAATTCTGTCTCGAAAGGGGAGGTGTAGACTTAAATTGGAAATAGTATAACTCCGAAAATTGTACGATCGAGGGTATTTCTGGCATCATTTTTGAAATTGTACGCTTAACAAATCTGGCATATTTATATATATATATATATATAGAAATTTGAGGTCGATCGTGCTAGATCCGACGGATTCTATCGAGTCCCCAATCTCGTCGCTCCAGCGAATTTGATCAGAAATTTGTCTCCAGTCGTGTAGAAGTTACTCCAACCGCAAAGTCAGCGTCATATTCGGTTAGCTGATCTCGGGGAGCAAAGCCAATAAATGATCGCGGAGTTTTGCGATAAAATTGACCGATAGTAATAAATTCTAACTTGTCAGGAATTTATGAAATATTTCTCAGAGTAACTAAATACAACCAGCTGAACGAGAGTATGTATTCTCTGATTTGAAAGTACAGACGACGATTGTTAATCAAATCATTTAATTGCGTAAATATACCGATACACTTCAGGTGTTACCTTTGAAAAATTGATCAGAACCTCGAGTGCCTTCCTGTCAACCATTTGGATAAATCAGAAAGAAACTATATGTTCCAAATATAGATATAAGAAGAATTCATATCGTCAGGTTTGAAACTACACGTAGTAATTACAATTAAATAATTGTAATTCTTGAATTATATAGACACGCTCGAAAAATTGATCATAACATCAAATTTTTGTTCTGTCACCCGTTTGAACAAATTGTAACGGAACACTCGGTATGAAAAATTCAACAATAACATTTATCCCCGCGACGACAGTAACGTTTCGAGTAAACCGTGCTCGATAGAGCATGCAAACGACGTATTTTCACTGCCGTGTCTTTATTTCGTTGTACGCCTACGTGTTCGTGTTCGCTTCTTTCTCTTTGACGCTACCGCGAGCGGAATGCAAATTTCGTCTGGCGACCAAGTTTGCAGAATTGCGCGGGAAATTGAACTCGCGCCGAGCGCTTTGAATAATTCAGAAGTTTACGAGTCCCGCGAAGGAAACTGGCGTGCGTGGAGTCGCGATAACTTAGCGATCACTTATTAGAATAATTGAACGCTGTGTCGGGGATCAATGCGACGACACACTCGTTAGTACCGATACGCAAGTACCACTACGAACTAGTTCGAGGTAGCAGAAACTAGTTCAAACTAGTTTTGAAAAAATTAGGAAAATTTTGTCAGCAAGAACTAAATAGAAAGAAAATAAATTCATCTTCCTTAAAACATATCATAAATAAAAATATCGCAACATCTACGGGTACATAACTTCCGTCGCGTAGCGATTGCTAAATAGACAAGCACTCGAATAAATTGCCATCGATAGCCACCGGTTAGGTGTACTTGGCACCCGGTATTATCGAGATCTCGATACCGATCCAGCTTATCTCCTATCAGAGATGTGGATCGTCGCCGTAATTCTTCTGGATCCAACCTCTGGATAGGCGTTCGGTTGTTTTAAGTTATCTTTGCGAATCATTACAGAATTTTATAAATCAGATTGCAGTTCTTATCGATAATAGATCGAAACTGTTTACCTTTGATTTGTTATTCGTAATTCTTAACGAGATAAGAATTCGGCCAATCTCAGACCCGCCCGGATTTCCAGGCTGGAATCTTCGTCGGTGCGTGGCACGACATTCGGCAAGAGGTATGTCGATCACGTGACCATGGAATTTCCCAGAGCCATACGTATCTCTCGGTGTATCAGGGCTCGCGTTTCAGGACTTTGTTGGAAAACTCAGCGGTCGGTCGGTCGGTTTTCCGCGAGTTTTCGAGGGGATCCGATATTCGCTAGGAAGAGTAGTTGATGAGGCGGTTTAAAACGGAAGTTTTCCTGCGGTTTTCGAACGGAAAGAGCTGCGGCTCGGGACTGGGGGAATTTCTGGAAAGTCCGGGGGCAGATATTCTGAATATTTCAACCCCTTACGGTCGGCTGGGCAAACTTTGGGCCAATTTTACTGGAAGTATCTTGATATTTTATAGGAAACGTGACGTTGATGAACGGTTACAATCTCGGAATATGTTTCGGGAGTGTCGGGCCGGTACTTGAATCTCAGTTTCAGCGATCTTGGTGAATATTTACAGTGCAGAATGCTTCTTGTTCTTTGAGAATAAAGTTAAGAAGATCGGGAAGAAATATAGAATTTTCTGTATGGAAATAATATTGTTTCCTTGCCTCGATATATTTGGAATTCAGCAGGTGTGATTAAATACGGTAATTAAAATATACATATAGAAGAAAAATAGAATTCTCTTTTCAATTGCATCGAAGAGATCGGTTACTTTGCCATTAAAAATAATTTTGAACACCGTACAACTCGATATGCGCCACGACCGAAAGCGTTAGTCTCTCAATGAAGAATTACAAGTTCAGCAGAAATTTATTTCCGTGTCACAATTGAAACGTAGGTAATCAAGGATCATCGGTTCGACGATGGATTCGCAATTAATCGTAATTGTCCAGAGAGACTGCCTTGGTTAATCGAAAATTTATATTCGAGCAACAACACCCGTCGTTACATGTGATTACTTAATTGAAGGATGCGCCGCGATAATTGGGAGCCAGTGTTGCCCGCGTCTCTCTCGACCGAGTCCAAGCGATTAATAATTATACGTTTCCCATTTAATATCGGATTGCGACTTCAAAGACGCCGTTGCGACGCGGGCTTTTGCGCTTCCCGCGCGATTCTCATCAAACAGAAACATTTGGCGAGCACAAAGCTCTCCGGGATCTCCCTCGCGACACCGTCGGAATGTCAATTATTCGCGAATGGAATTTCTGCCGGCGACAGATGTCTGCTCGCGGCCGTGTTTGTCGAAAGACGCGGGAAATTCGTCGACCATCGATGTAGCGTATGCTAATTCCGCTGATGGGACGCGAAAGTGCAGAAACTTGTTAACAATGACGAAACAATGGATCTCGCGAAGTAACGCGTCGTTATTTTTTGAAAGACAGATCTGGGAATATTGTGGATCGAAAGAGCAGAATTCTAATTATTTTCCTTAAATGCCAGTTTCGCTGAAGATTATTCTAGCTGTATTATCGAAAGCTCGCAAGAAAACCGTACAGGGAACGAAAATATACAGGGTGGTCAGCGCAACCTCAAAGGCGGATCTAGCACGGCGGAATAATAAACGAAGAGTTCAAATAAATTCAGGTCCCCTCTGATCCTCGTCCGCGAGCAGTGATAAGCAAAATTCTTATCCAGATGAAACTCTCAATAACTAGTAAAAGAAGTAAAAGACAACTCTGCGTCTTCCCTGTTACTCGTTGTATAAAAGTTCGAATTATAAATTGAAACAATCGAGTCAAGCTTTGTCTGAACTTTCGATTCTTGGAGTCTTCGTTCTTGTCCCTCGTCTGTTATCGCAGTAAAATTTCGTTCATCCCTGTGTTTGACCACCGCTCGATCCTGTAATATTCAGTAGAAGCCGAGCTAAACCATAATCGATCCCACGCGCAGATGAATGCTGCCGCTGCGACCGGCGACTAACTTAATACTATTGATCGTTTATTAACACAGCACGGGCCGTTGCGTATAACTTTAATTGACCTCGTTGAGGGTACGCTACGCGGATGTAACGACGCTCGGATCGATTTTAATTATCTCCTCGTAATTATCTCGCGTACTATAACACAATCGACGCTCGAGGAGATCGCTGACAGCGGAAAAACGAGACGTTGACCCGGGAAGAGGGCAGAGAAAATTTCTTCGACCAACAGTCACTCTCGAAACAGTTACTTTAGAAACGAGTGCGCACGAAACACTAGGATTACCAAAAATAAAGATAACAATGGTAGAAAATAAATTGAAAGTAGGATTTAATTAACCTCTTAGGCACGACGCGTCACCAAGTACGTGTATCGTATCTTTAAGAAAAACTGCGAATCAATCATCGATAACTTCAATGTATTCGCGCAGAGAACAACATCGTCCGTCGTCCGTTCAAAAAGAACAATAGACAGTCGCCTCGTCGTTCACTATAATTTCTGGATATCTAAATAGTAGGAACGCGTTTCAGGGAAAACATCGTTTGACCCTTGGATAGAAATTAATATCGAAAGAAAAGACGCGGAATTCGGGCTGCAATGCTCTCCGCGAGTTAACAACCGTCGCAGGATTATATTCGTTTCGTAACCGAGGAAGATTAAAATTCAGCGGGTTCCCGCGAGGAATATCGATGAATTACGGGCCGCGTGGGGCGGTTTACGCTCTCTATCCGCTTTGTTTAATATCGCTTCGGAGCCCTTCCTTTCAGCCCACGCGGTGTTCCCCAACATCAGGGGATGTTCCGTTTTCGAAATCGCAATTAAAGCGTCGCGATTAAGGCCGATTCGTATTCAAGTGGCGGTAATGAAACAATAATGGCGACCGAGATAACCGTGCCCGGACGCATTCCTTCGTTTGTCATCGTCATTATCATCCATTGTCATTACCGTAACGTTTCGCTCCGTGCCAGTTCGCGATCCCACGTGAGATCCATTATCCAATTTGTCGCGAGCCCGCCGACACGGTTCACGCTGCTTTTTCACGAACGCCAATTGTCGCGCGATAATACTTCCGGTGTGCGTTACCTCCGGTGCAATTTTTCGACAGATCCGTCAGAGTTCAATTTTTCTACCTTCGAACGAACGTTCCGAGGGGACTATCCACCAAGAAAATAAAAAGTAACGGGTGTTTCGAATGATGAATTATTATACTTCTTTTGTTTCAAATGTAAGAAAAGGAATAACGATCCAGAAAATAGTACGAATTTATTTCAAGAAATCCGATGCGAAACTTTTTTATCGCAACGCGAGGCTTTTATTTTTACTTTTCCCGTCGACCGTGGCCGTTTGACGAAAACCGCGTTTGTACGTGTTCAACGCGATGTGTGTCAAGAGAAATTAAGAACTCGCGTCCTGGCGTAGCTTTGTTGCTCGTTATTGTAAGAACGAGTACAGGAATAATTGCACGTGCTAGCAGAATTAAACGTTTCGACTCCGCACTTGGCGTCCCTGTCCGTGTATTTATTATATTAAATTCGCGCAAAACCTGGGTAGAAACCTGGGCATTCTACGGAAATCGAGACTTTCGCGTTTTGTTGCGCGAGAAGGACAGAGCGAGACGCGATAGTTGCGCCGTGACGCGTGAACGCAATTTTCTGGAGCTGTAAAGATAAACTTTATGTGAAAATAAGATAGCTTGGAGTGGTTTCTAACGAAAACGTGGAACAATGGCGGGAAATGAAGGTTATTTAGCCCTTTGCACTCTGCCCCATCGCGTTACATATAATTCTAATTTTCGAAACGTTTCTTTTTTCGTATTATTAGGCTCGATTACAAATTCTTATAGCTTTCTTGAAGCGTTGACACCACTGGAAACGTAACGAATTATTTATTCCCTGTTGTAGGAGTGTGATACATAATACGAGAGTAAGTGCCTGAGTGTATCCGTGTGTGCAATGGTTGCGCGGGAACGCGGTGTGATTTGTTATTTATAATAATTCGGAGTTCAGTTCGGTCGAGACAGTTGTAAAAGTCAGACAATAAATAGATCGTTGTCAAAGTGCAATACGTTTTAAGGTCATTAGATTCTTACACTTTGAATTTCTAATATCAAACGTTTCTTCGTCACGTCAGGCACGATAGCGTTCCCGTTCGCAGCATAGCGATCGTTCCTCGCGAAATCTGACCTGCGCTCCCTGAACGGGGCTCTGGGTATTACTGTGACCCTGGAATTAAGCGGTTCCTCGCGAAGAAACCCGTTCATCAGTGCGTCCCTTTGGGCCTGGCTCTCTCTTATTGTGAGAAAACGGCCGACTCGATCCTCTCCGAGGGGGCCCAACGAAATTCTTCCATCGAATCCTGATCGTGCCAATCCCAAAACGACGCTGGGATAAGGCTACTTATTCACGGTTCTTTATAGAGTCACTAGACGCTAATGCAAATTCTTATTCATATATATGTCGCAGGGAAATGATAAAAATAGAGATTCGATCAAATCCCTAAGGTAGGTGATCAATTCACGGGAGATGTTAAAATAACAACTCCGTGAGGTAATTCCTCTAAAGAAAGTAAGTGATTTGATCAAATCCCTTAACCCCTTAATCCCTTAATTCCCATCTACCTTGGGAATTTGATCGAATCTCTGTTTTTATCATTTCCCTGCGACATATAGAAGTCCAACCTGAAGTAGCTGTTCAAGGCCATCTAGTTTCTATCCCCCACTCCGCGCGCTTGCTCCAACCCAATCAGAGCGTTTCTATCCCCACTCTAACCACCGTGACGTAACAGTGGGGCGTGCCACGGTGATTTACCTTGAGCAGCCAACAAAGTTTGACTCGACTTTGTGGCCACGGTGCGTTTCTGCAACCTGACGCGACGGACAGAGAACCGTATCATTTTCGGAGGCCAGGCTTCGCATTTCCTTCGGGGTTGCGCGAACACCATTTATTAGCGAACCTGGCTAGACCATTTCGGGCTCGTAAATCGCCGCTGCGTGATCTGGATAATAGCGGGTCGGCAGAAGAAAC